CATTTTGGATTTTTCAAAAACTCGGAGTGATGTGGAATACGAGTAGAACAATGAAGTTTGTTAAACTATTCACTAATTTTTGTCAAACCTATTCTGGTTATTCAGTAACCGATTAATGTTTGAACTAATCTACGGAGTATATGTTAACCGGACTTTATTTGATTTTTCAATAGAGACCAATCTGCCTTGTATGTTTATTTTTAGGGTCCTTCTATGGTACATTGCAAAATAAAGGAGGTACCAATTCATGCCCAATCACACTACACCAGGAAGCCACTTTAGGAACCCACTCATATTTTTAAATTGTCTTTTATTATTTGCCTTGTATGCTATGGCTGGTGATGTACCGGTGCCTCAATATTTGTGGAGGCACCGTAGAAATGTCCTTATTTTTAATGTTTGGACCTTCAACTTCGTTTGTTGACCTGTTTACATGCAAAATATTTTAAATTTTAAACCTTAGACAATACTACGTATAATCCAATTATTAATTATTAATATTACTAAAATGTCGTTACGTTTACCTTTGAAGCGATTACCTTTTGTTTAATTTTGCCATTGATGGTCTCTGTTTCAGAACCCCAATTTCCCCCAAAATAGATGAAGTCTCACCAATGTGATGTTTGTCATGACTCATGACTACCCGTTGTAGCATGAATACACCATCCATGTGAATATTAGTGAATGCAAACCATGGATGAATACGGCTAAGAGCCCGTTTGGTGAGCCTGTTTTTCGGCTTATCAGACAGACTTATCAGTCAACTTTTTCATCAAACACGTAACTTTTGATTTCGCGCGCTGAATTGTTTTTTCACCAAACACGTAACTTTTGATTTCGCGCGCTGAATTGTGTAATAATAAGAAAAGGTAAGGTTGAAGTTACTTTTCTGGCTTCATTGGTTGAAGTTATTGTAGAGGATCATTCTAGCTATTTTTTAATATGATTTTTTCTATATTTTATTGATAAAATATTTTTTTTATATTTTTTTTCATAAATCAGCAGATTCAGCCAAAATAGTCACTTCAGCCAGAACTTTATAAATATCAGCTGAAACAACCGATTCAGCCGATTTCAATATTACCAGATGGGCTCTAAGAGGACATGGAATTCTATTTGCATCATTTTCAAAAAGAGTCTAAGAACATGATATACCTCTTTGAATGCGCAAATTATACGGTGGGATCGGTCCACCTTCCGCATGATGTGTTGATCCCACTTTTAAGGAAGTTACGTGGCTTTCCTTTTCCCTCATCCTTTGTCTGCAGCTTTGTTATTTCCTTTTCCTTTGTTTTTTTTTGTTTTTTTTTCTTTTGTTTAATTCATTTCTTTTTCCATCAAATTAAAATACCAAAAACTTAATTGCAATCCTACTTTTCTTTATCTTCATCTTAAATTATAATTGAATCTGTTTTTTTTTATTCTTTATCAATACATGACAAAAAGTTTCTTAATCTAAATAAAATAATAATATTGCATCCCATGTTCATACACTATTTTTGTTTATGTAATATTTTTTATATCCATATACTTTTTTATAATATGCTTTTTATATTCATACACTTTTTTGTAATATTTTTTTGTATGCACACACTTTTTCTATAATATAATTTTTTGGCACTTTTATATGTTTTTAGAGGTTTTTAATACATTGAGTTTGTTTATTTTGATTCTTCAAGTTACATTTGATAATATATCATGAAGTTACATTTTTTCTGCGCGAGTTACATCTTAATGTACACGAGTTAAATCTTAATAGGCGTGAGTTATATCTTAATGTATGCGAGTTACACCACGGAATATAATAAACCCCTGCAATATCATTTTTATATCCCTAATATTAAAAATAAAACATATTCACTATTTTAAAAAATAATTAAGCTATTAGGATCAATTTTTATTGTTTACGTTGAAATCGATGTTTATAATATATATAATTCTCCAACGCAAAAAAAAAATCAGTGTTCAATTTTCCAACAAGTTACATTCTGTACACACCTAAGTTATGTTTGCTAACAACGCGAATTACATTTGTAATAACATGAGTTACATTAAAAAATGACCCCCCGCCTATTGAAACAAAAAATGATTTTTTTAAAAAAAATATTTTTTATGGTCATGATATTAAAAACAAAACGTATTCATGGTTTACCTAAAACAACTTTGCAATTAGACTCTCTTTTTTCATTGTTTACATTGAAATCAATATTTAATTTCATATACTATGTATTTGACAAGTTACATTTCGAATGAATTTGAGTTACATCGATCAATAACGTAAGTTACATATTTTTAAACGCGAGTTACATCATTCACTCTACTGGAACAAAAAGAAAGAAAAAAATAGTCACTGTACACGCGTGTACTGTTCAACACGATTTTTTTAAAAGAATTGTTCAAAACTACGTCGTTTTGGGAGTGGAGCACGGTGCTCACGGTGGACGATCCCTTTCAAAACTACTGTATACGAACTGCTCAAAGGGTATCTACTTTGGCAACCCCTTGCTCGGCTATACTACTTATTACTCCTTCCGGTCCTTATTAAACTTTACACTTTGACTTCACATATATTAGGGAAATAAATTTGACTTTACTGTAGAGTACACTGTTTGGCACTGTTTGATATTATTTAGCACTGTTTGGCACTGTTTTGCACTGTTTGGTGTAGATTTGTTTGCCAAATAAGGCAAATAAGGAAGTGTAATGTTTAATATGGGACAACCCAAAAAGGAAGGTGTAAAGTTAATTAAGGACCGGAGGGAGTACTACTTAGAGCATCCTCATCCATGAGATTATTTAAAGTTTAATTGGATGATGTGTAAGATTGTTTTATAGATTATTTGGAGAGATTATTGAAAAAGAAAATTCAGTATCAAGATTTGAATCCCGGATTATTTTAGATTGTAGTTAAAATGCGTTTAATGCATGATATAGAATATCTAATTATTTGAGTATCATGGTTGATGAAGAATTTTAAGACTTGAGATTATTTGAGATTTATGGAATAAATGTGATGTGACAATGACGTGTAATCGAAAAATCGTTTATTTTAAGATCGTGAATAGAGATCGTTTATTTTAATGATCTTTATTTTGAGATCATTTATTTTAAAATGTCGTGTTTTTACATTTTAATAGTGTCCTTTCCATATGTGATGAACTGGCTTACTTTTTAAAGATGACACGGAGCATTGTCTAGAGTTAATGACTCAAATAGGACTAATAACAAAGTTAATTGCACATTTAGGACTACAAACGAAACACAACTTTCATAGGACCAATTTCAGTACAGTTGGACAAAAATACCCCTCTTTTAGTATTTTAAATTTTAAAATTGTAAAATAAAAAATTATTGAAACCCTAGGAGAGCACTGTCGCCACCAGAGCCAAACCGCCTGCCGCCACCCCTCGCTGACGCTACCTGCCGCCACCCCTCGCTGACGCAACCTGCCGCCGCCCTCTCCGGCGACGGCGCCCCCTGTCGCTGCCCTCGCTGTCTACCATCTGCCGCCACACCGTCGTCATCCATCGCCGCTCCTTGCCGCTTCCCACACTAGCGTTGCCCTCTATGCCATCACTATCTGACCGGCGTCACCATCCACCCAAGCCACGATCCTCTGAGCACGCCACAATAGTGACAACTCAGGCGGAATAATTTGCCATTAACTTGGTAGATTTAGCATTGAGAATTAGATTCACTTCTGCCATGAACAAGTGTTTCTGGCATAGTAACACAAAACTGCCATAAATTTGACAAAAATAAAAAAACACATGAAGTAAATAACCAAATATTCAAACAACTAAAATTTTTAATGGAACAAACATTTTAACACAACCACAAATTTGAAAAACGAAGCTATTGACATAAAACCATAAAAATCAGTTTATAAAAAAGCATTTCTTCCATAATATGATTGTAAATGTACACATTTTTGCCATAAACTTGGCCAAATCTGAAGCAATCATCCAAATATTTATCAAATCGATTTTTTTAAACTCTGAAATCAAAAACCAGAAAATCGAAATACAAGTCTGAAAAACTGGAAAAAATAATTCAAAATTCAGAAAAATGGACGAAAATCGAAAAGAAGGAGAAGAAGAAGAAGAAGAAGAAGAAGAAGAAGAAGAGGGAGAGGAGGAAGAAGAAGAAGAAGAAGAAGAAGAAGAAGAAGAAGAAGAAGAGAAAGAGGAAGAAGAAGAAGATGGATGGAGGAGAACCTTAGTGGCAGCGGCGTACAGAGAATCGAATGCAGCGGCGACGTGAGAGAGAAATCAAACGATCTTGTGTGCAGGGCGAAATTGGCGGTGGCTGAGATGGCTAGGTTGAAGACGGCTGATGATGCGCAGTGAAGGAAGAGGTACAGAGGTGTGCGCAAGAGAGAATGGGGAAGCAGTTGTGCGTAGGGAATGGGAGAGAGATGAGCGTAAAAGGGATAAGGGGGTAATAATGGGATAAAAACACGGATGTTTTCAAATAGGAGTAAAATAGTCTTGTTTAGGGAAAAAATCATGGATAGTCCTATTTGAGAATTTCACTTCTCTTTTAGTCCTATATGGGGCAATTACTTCATTGTGAGTTTCTAATATGCAATAACCGCTATTTTTTTATTAATATTTTGTCTTTTTCCTTTTTTTCTTTATTTATTTTTATTTCTTTTCTTTTCTTTTTGTTTTTTGATAACCGTTATATGTTTACGCGTTCGATTTTATTTTAAAACTATTGTATGCCCATTCTATTTATTCTAGAACTATTTACACGTATTCTATTTATTCTAAGACTATGTACTACTCCCTCAGTCCCAATTTGATTTGCAAAATTTTTTATTTTGTTTGTTCCAAAATGATTTTTCACTTTCTATTTTAGGTATGTAAATAAGAATAAAGATATAAATTTACCTTTATTTTTATTTTTTCCTCATTAACTTAAAGGCATCTACTTTTAGAAAGATTGACAAAAATGTAAAAAATAAGTACCATTTATTATCATTACTTAATCCTTGTTTCGGTCAAAGTTTGTGATTCAATTCTAAGAAATGAGGAGAGTACATCTTATTTTTGTGGCATGCATCACGGTGTGAATCTAATATACATAGTAGAAAAACATAAGGAAGCGCAAATCCTTTTTTAATGAAAAAATCCTTCATTTGTTCTTTTTTCTAAGAAATCCAAAACAGGGGAAACCCAAACGAATTTGGTCCTATTGTCCTAAACAGAGGCGTAGAGCTGAGGAACGAAAGAAAACCATCTGAAACCACAGCTCCATTTGTCCGGCAAGGATGGACACCTCGGAAGCCAATGCCATGTCTTCCTCGACACCTTATAGTACAGAATCTCCGGCCAGGTGTAGCAGCAAATGCAGACCAACCCCTGATGCCAGAAGCAGTACACATGCTCATAGTTATGGTAGCACACCGACATCAGCTTCCGGCACATCATCTCCGGCACACTGTCGCCCGCCACCTCCGCCCACCTCTCGCCGCCGCCTTCTTCCTTCTTCTCCCACAGCTTCATGCTCCTCGAAATCCCATTCCTCCCCACCCCGCCAACCAGGTACAGCTTCCCGCCGCCGGCGTCGCTAACCAGCCGGGCGAATGTCAGATCCGCCACCGGCATCTCCATCGCCGACCTCTGCCACTCCCCGGCGTCTAAATCGAAGCAGAACACGCGGAACGGTTCGGGGGTGATGAAGTGCAAGGACCCGCGATGGAGGATCCCTTCCTGGTGGTGATTGATGCAATTGGCGAGGGCCGGTTTGAAATCTTGGAACTTCCGCCAGGAATGGTCAGAGGAGTCGTAGACGAAGGTTGACTTCCACGGCGGCAGGGAAGATTTGATGACGAGGATCTTGTAGCTTCCGTCGGGGAGGGAGACGAGGGTGAGGGAGTCTATAGAGAAGGGCAGGATCGGGAATTTCACGAGCCTGGAAGTGTTTGAGATGAGATTGGATATGATGAAGGAATGGGAGTTCTGGAGTGAGAAACAGAGGAGGCCATTGGAGGAAGACAGAAGAACAGGGGAGGGGAGGGAGATGGAGAGGTGGCGCCAGCTGCCGTGTACGGTGTCGAACAGAGGGTATTTTCGGGAAAACTGGGGGTGGGAAAGCAGGAAGAAGGAGGAAAAGGGAGTGGATGAAGGGGAGGAGGAGTAGGTGGTGATGAAGGGAGGAGAGAAGAGGAGGGAGTGGAAGTGTTTGCAGGTTGATCTCAAGCTCAAGAAGGTCTTCAATGGCAGAAATGAAAGGACGCGTTCCAGTAGATCTTTGGGTATGCGTCTCCATATCTCAGAGTCCATTGCTTCATCCGATCTCATCTTCTCCATCTGTCCCACATAAAAACAGGACTGGATATCAGATTCTTTCACTATTTTTGGTATGGGGTCTTCTCATTCATCCAATTAAAAGGTTTGAACGCACCGACCTGTTTTAAAGAGGGCTTGATTTTTTTCTTGCGTACTCCGCGTTTTTTACAGCTAAGTCATAAGTTGGAGTGTTGGACCATCCTAAAGCAAATAATAAAATGAGCAATTTTTTATGTACAAACCGTTTACATATATAATTATAGAGAAAATTTCCGAAATAGGACTAAAACAGTTTCAAAATTTCAAAATATTACTGTCATGTTTTTAAATTATTATATTGACATCTTTTAAATAATTTGTATGTGTTCACAAGTAATTAGAGGGAGTGTATAGTATACTGTAGTGTATACACATCTAGTTTTTTTCAATAAAGATATACCATAGGCTATTTGTATTATTTTCTGTTCTATTGGACTTTACCAACTTTACGTTAAGTGTGAAATAAGAAAAGTAAAAATCGTTTAGTTGATATATATGCAAAGAAGAGAGAAATAAACAAAATTCCAAATTCATTCATTTAAAAGGAAAATTACAAAGTTGTTGAACAAACAAATCTAGTGGGACATAAGTATATGTTTTAATTGGAGTGAAATTGTTTATTCTAGTTTCATTTTCTCTCTACATTTGTTTAAGTCTGATTTAGTTAGATCTGAATTGGTCTGATATATGTCTGTTTTATTGTAATTTTATACGATTGAAGTCTTATCATGTGTGATGTGATCTCGTCTATATAAATCGAGTTTGATTTGAGACAATTTAAAAATGCTAAAATTTACTTTAATGTTCCTTCATACACAAGTTGTTTTCGTCTTAAAAGTCAATCTCATCCTCCATTTTCCTGGATCAATGATCAAGTTTTATTTCCATTCTTATGATCTACGGAGTATCTAACAAACAGTTTCTTTTTGACCAATAAATGCGTTGTGTGAACTCCATATTACAAAAAAAAAATTGACACCCCATCTCTAAGAGTGTGTTTGGGAGTTTGAGAGTGAGGGAAGGGGAATGTTTTGAAGTAGAGCAGAGGGAAGGGAATGAGAGGGAGATGGGAAGGGATTCCCTCCACTTGTTTGGGAGTTACAAATTTCAAAAGATGGGGTTTTGGAGGGCATATAATTAAAATGACACATGTACTCCTTTCTCATTGTATAACGTTATAGTACATTGGATGTTACTACCTCCGTCCCTTAAAATCTTGATAAAGTTGACCGACACGGAGAATAATAAAGTAAAGACTGTGTGATTGAGGTTTGTGCAGAGGAGAGAGAAATAACAGAAACCACAAAATAATTGATTAAAAAGGAAAGTGACAAAGTCTTTTGAGACATTCCAAAAAGGAAAGATGACAAAGTTTTAAGGAACAAATGGAGTATATTTTTATATTGTTTAGATTACTGATTTTTTTCTTGAAAAATGCTTCAATATTTACATATATAAATCATGAGCATGTTTGGTAATACCAAATTTGAAATAAAAAATTTATGAAAATAACAAAATCGGTTTATTCTTATAAATTCAGCGCACAAAATAAAAAATTACGTACTTAATGAAAAAATGACTAGTAAGCTAATAAGTAAAAAAACAAAGTCAGAAAACGCACTCATATTTTTTGTTAAAGCATCATCATGTTTATTTAAATAATAACAATATTTAAATTCAAAAAAATATTTTATTAAAAAAAATGTTTACAACACCGTATGATTTACTCTAATCAACTAAATAATTTAGTTGTTTTCAAATGGAAGGTAGGGTCAGAAATATATAGGTACACTCACCCACTAATCCATATGAGGACACCTGACACGATGCAAATTGGCAAATTATACCGTGCAACCGGCGCACCATGAGGATGGTGCGCTCGGTTGCAAAACGACACAGCTTGTCCCTCCCTCTTTTTTTGCTTTTGTTGTTAAAAAATGATAATAACTTTTTTATTTTTGATCCGATTTTTATAAAATTTATATCAACATTTTTTATTTTTCATGATCTTTCAAATGAGACCAATAATGCTTATGTAATTTTAAGAAATTATCGAACTATTATATTAATGAGTATTGGATTATAAGGAAAATCGAATCTGTTTGGGAGATGATAGGTTTGTGAAATAGAAGATCGAATCTGTTTGGGAGTGGATCAGTGGCCTCAGTTACATTTGATAATACATTGAGTTACATATTTTTATGAGCGAGTTACATCTTTTTATAAACAAGTTACATCTTTTTATAAGCAAGTTACATCTTTTTATAAGCAAGTTACATCTTTTTAAAAGCGAGTTACATATATATAAACACGAGTTGCATTTGACATGCCTGAACGCGACTTGCATATATTTACACGTAAAGTTACATATTTTTACACGTAAAGTTACATATTTATACACGCGAGTTACATATTTATACACACGAGTTGCATTTGACCTGTCTGAACGCGAGTTACATATTTTTTTACGTAAAGTTACATATTGTTACACGTAGAGATACATATTTATACACACGAGTTGCATTTGGCCTGACTGAACGTGAGTTACATATTTTAACACGTAAAGTTACATATTTTACACGCAAATGTTAATATGTTAAAATTACATAGGCAATATTGGTCTCATTTGAAAGATCATGAAAAATAAAAAATGTTGATATAAATTTTATAAAAATCGGATCAAAAATAAAAAAGTTATTACCATTTTTTAAATCAAAAGGGAAAAAAATATAAATCCGTACCGGTATACGGTGCTCACCGTATACCAGTCGTAGGGTATAGGCACTCATGCAAATGAGAGATACAAGTACGAAGGGCAAGCTAACGACAGTGGCCACGACGTGCGAACCATCACCGCCTTCGTTGCTCATCGATTACTCCTCAGAAACCTCTCGATTCGGGGAATTAGGGTGTGTTTGGGAGTTGGGTTTTGGAGGGGAGGGGGAGGTTGATGGGGGTTTATAACCCTCCTTTTCATGTTTGGGAGTTTATAAAACTGGAGGGGATGGTTTTGGAGGTCTTTCATGACCCTCCAAAACCCTCTAAATGCCTAATTTTTAAGTTCTCCCAATTTGGAGGGTTTTGAAGGATAATTAACGAAATGGTAATTTAAGCTCAATTAAAAATAAATATCAGTTCAATTATTTAAATTCGTCATATCTCAAAGTAATTTTAATTATAATTCATTCAAAAACTCTCTTCTTCCAAATTTATGACTCTCAAATACAAAGAAGGGCTTCTTCACCCTCCCCTCCCTTTCCCCTCCAACAACATACCTCCAAAGTCTTCCTCTCCCCTTCCCTCCGAACTCCCAAACATACCCTTAGAGAAGTGGGCATTGGGGGAGGGGGGGGGGGGGGGGGGGGGGGGGTTACAGGGATTTAAAAAAAACCTCCAAAATCTTTGCTTACATTTTAAAAAACTCCCAAACACAAAATAGGGGGTCATTGACCCCTCACATCCCTTCCCCTCCCCTTCAAAATCAAACTCCCAATCACACCTTAAGGGTCCCCAAATCTGACCGGACGGTACGTTGGGAGGATGTAAATTAGACTATAATCTCAATCTGAAAGATAGAGAGTGGGACTCTGTCCCCGATACTTGGAGGGCACCTATGCATTTTTAACATAGTAATCTCTCATCACAGTTGACGGGATTCGAACTCGGGGTCTAACCCTTGTGGCGCTCACTTGCTACAAGATGATTTACGCCCACCCGTGTGTACTCCGTATTACATAGAGCCATAGAGGTGGTGCAAAGGTGCCACCGTGCCAAAGCCCAAAGATCGAGTTCAATTGGCAATGATTTGGAAAGGTGCGGAGGTGTTAATGAAACAATTTTGGCTGCTACATTAACTTTATGCTTTATGCATTGATTAGTTGCTTATATCTTTAGGTCTTTTAGACGTCACGTACTCACGTTCAATGGACTAGATTCCTTTTCTGAACCACCGTGTATAAACACGCACAAACACAAATTACCATGTAATTTAAAACAAATAAGATGGTACCAAATTAAACCATACATGATCAGACGATCAGTTCAGTTCAATTTAGGCCAAACATGACTTAAGCAAGTCAAATTAAACGTGATGAAGTTAATTGATCATGCATGTTAAGGTGTTAATTCTGAGTGGGAAATATCCAATTATTGAAGTTAAGTAGTGACGATTCTATTACTCATGCATGGTAATGTGTGTACATTAACAAACACAAAAACAATAACATTTAATTACATATCGTATTAATGTAAAAATATTGACAAAAATATCATTCATATACAAATAGCAAGAATTTAGACAAAATATCATTCATGGATTATATGACTCAGGAACCCCCGACCCACATACTTCTACTACCACGAGACAGGCCCAACTGCCCAACAGGCCCAGGCGGCCCAGATATAGCGGTCCAAGCTCCAGGAAGCCCATACTACGGATGGTATTTCCTTCGTCACTATGGCCGAAGGCGTCAAACTCAAGAGAATGATTGTTTTTGGTCCAAAAGCACAACTGGGGAAACGAGGTTGAAATGTCAACCTTCGGCCATACAACCTTCGGTCCTATAGTCGGAGCATCACCCCGACAGGATCTCCTCTTTGCATGCACTCAATCACCGCATTAAATGCAGCATCACGTCCAACCACCGCATTAAATATGGTGTCATATGTTGTGACGGCGCCACCCGGCTGAGGTGACTATCCACCATAGACTAGCTTACACGTGTACATGCATAAAATGCACCCAACACTTATGTCTACTATAAATAGCACCCCTTTTGGCAAATGTAAAGCACAACAAGTTCATTTATTACATACATACTCTCTCTCTTACCTTATTGCTCTGACTTCTCTTTGAATACCCTCATCGGTATCCCGGTATAGACTATCAATCATTCCTATAAAAATATCATATCGAGAACTTTAGTTTTTTAAAGTATTTTAACTTTATACGAAGTAGTTGATCCTAATTCCTAATATGGAGTGTTTCATGGACCGGTTCCGGTTCGGGCCCGGCCGGGCCTCGGTTCAAGAAGGGGAGCCTGGAACCGGCCCGGGTAACCCCCGGGTCCGGG